TAGTCCAGCTACGATTATTCTGTATCTGTAATAATACGTATCCAAGTGACGAAAACTTTTGTAGTGCTCGAGCGCATTTTAAATAGTTCAATGGTTTTTTTGTTAACTATATTAACTAGCCCGTTTAAAAGACATACGATTCTACCGATAGTTGCACTGTCCATTTTTGGTCATTACCGAAAAATAGAAATTTCCTCCAATGAATAATGTGTCATGAAAGGATTAAGAAAGTTTCAAATTGCTGGCTTGATGTAAACGGAAACTCAATCATATTGATTCACTGTCTGAACATCTCTTAACTTGCCTTTGAATTCACTTGCAATACTCAGTCTCAGCTGCTTTTCTACCCAACACTACAAATTATTCTCTAAAAAATATTCAACATTAGAGCTACAACAGCTTTTCTGTGACTACAAGACGAAGTTTTCCCAACAAGCAACAAGATGCAAACAGATAGGAATTGCAAAAACAGCAACAACCGCAGCAAGCGTAGCAACTAACAAGCGGCAAATCGTTTTCCACTTATTTTCAGGTCCGTACCTACGCAAAGACTGCCACACACACAGAGCCAATAACTTACCACCAACACAAACAGAATCCAAACGACGAGCAAATCCCTTGCAGTCATATCTCTCAACTATGCGCGGTCAGCAATTTTGATTGTTTTGTGGTTGAGACCTTAGGGTTTGCAGCTCTAATATTAGCAATGTCTATAAGGAGTGAAGCCACAAATAAATTGTATGGCAAATACGGTTGCTGTCTCCGTTGGTGGCCACATTGGCACACCAGTCGAAGCCATACAATCATAACTGTAGTCAAGTGCTCGCCTTAAGAGATTCGTAAGCCACACAAATTACTTAAAAACTTTGGCGCTTCAAGACTTGAGCATCAGAGCATCAGAGGCGGCAACAGCAACAACAATGTTGCATTGCTTTTAAAAGCATTTTTTATGTTTATGCATGGCGCGCGTAAAGTTACAAACAAAAAATGGCTTCCAAACACACACACAAAACAAGAGCAAGGCTCACGCACGCCCGCTACTTGAAATGGAAACTGGCATATATTTTATGCACTTACAATCAATTTGCGATCATAAATTTTGTCTGGACCCCTCAGCCTCGCCAACACACACGTTGTCTTGTCATTTCGACAGCTGTGCAGGTCTGTGGCTCCAAATGAGACCTTAAAGCATACAGTGGAACTTCGAGTGTTAACATTTTTGCCCAACTTTGGGCGAGATTTGTTCCATGATTTTATGCAAATATCATAAAACGCAAAACATATTATGAGTATATAATTTTTAGAAAAAATTTAAATGGCTAATAAGTGTTAAAATGTTATACATAATCGTATAGTCGCATCATATTAGTGTTGTTAATTTTCAAACTAGAAGAGTTTTTGCAGAATTTTTAAGTAATTTTTTACAGAATTTTATTCTTGACATATAGTCAAAATTATATAGCTAATTAACTCAGCCACACAAATTCTTTAAAATGTTCAGAAGGAAATAACTTTACTTCAAACCTTATCGGTTAATAATTTTGGTACTCATTGTACAAAATAGGTAGTGCGTTATGAGGAAATAGGACTGTATACTTGAATACATATATATAAATAAATATAACCGCAAAAAAGGGCACACCTAATGGCAAATTTACAACCCTTTACTGAAACAAATAAAAATTTACGAGTACAATGGCAACAAACACCAAACACAAAACATTGTGGCCGCATAAAATGCGCAAATAAAATATGGCTAATAATCGCATAATAATACCCGGCAATGGTTTCGGTGGGAACAGTGAGCCCGGCTGCTGCCCCAATTGAGACTTTGGTTGCGGCAAAGGATTATTTATATGCTCCGGAGACACAGTTGTTGTATTGACCCGCTAAGAGCCGTCAATAAAAATCCAAACGGGAGCCCCAAGTGTACCAAGCGCACGCATTAAATTCGAACACACTGCGTATACGTAATCTACACTTTAGACACTCTGCGCACTGCTCAATGCATGGGGCAGACATTTTTTTTCTCCCCCCACTACTTTATGGCAGTTAATAATGCTTAATAATGCCAGATCCAGGCTGTATTACCTAATAATGACAACTCGTTTATTGTGGCATCAATTGTGGCTCAATGTGTGGCTTAACGCATACTGACTGAAACAAAGCATCGCATGCAGTGGCGAACAGCTCAGTTTTGCCGACATATATATAGTACAACACTTTCGGAATGTGGGGACACCCAAGTCAAAGGACTCTGATATTAAATCCAAGCTACCGTATCATGGCCTCATCTCTGTGCCAGGGTAATACAAGTATCTAAGTACGCTGTGGATAAGAATTTCATACGTGATGCCTTCAAAAATACTTTTAATTGTCTTAAAGATCATCAACATTCAAGCGCATTTTAAAAAGCTAACGTAAATAGTTAGCAAATCGATTTTAATATAATAATAAATTGATTTTAGAATTCAACCTCAAAATTAGCTAGCTTAATTTTAAAACGCACTTTATACATTAAATGAATTGTTTTTAAACTTCAACGACATTTTAAGCTTTTGCTTTTGAATAATAGTATAGTTATAAAGTATGTACAATGATATGGCGAGGCAATCCAAATAAAAACAATCTCAGGAACTTTCTGTAAGTGTAGCCGCCGCGAAATGCAACTGATAAGCTACCTGCAAACAGAATGCAAAAACGATGTAAAAGATGGGCAGTGCTTAAGTGTTTCCACAGTTGTGCTTGCTGTAAGTAGGAAGTTGTAGGAAGTTGTAGATGTGCAACTGGAAGCCAACACATAAAAGACAGAACAGTTCATTGTTGTTGTTGTGGTTACTCTGACTACTATGTACTTATATAAGTGTGCGTCATTGTTGCTGAAGCAAGAGTCGTCCCTGAGGTGCAAATTTTACATAGCCAGTAAGTTTAAACTTTAAACGCTTTTAGCTGCTGATAGCGCAAAGTTGCCAACTACTTATTTACCGTAAGTATCAGTAAAGTGTAGGGAGGTACGAATAGAAAGCAGTCCTTGTGTGTTCAACACTTTTCGCAACAATACTTTAATAATGCTGCCTTAATGATGTTGTTCCCCAATAATGTTGTATGTAATCAGCTCTCCACCATTTGCAGTAGTGGCGACATTCCTTTGCAATTTTAAAGCTTCAATTTCATTGTCAAAATAGAGAAGAAGAAGAAAAAAACGCCAACTGTGCACAAACAGTACTCGCAGAGTGTGTAAGCAGCGCTTCAAGCGTGCCAAAAGTATCACCCGAACACAGAAAAGTAAGTTGAACATTAAAAGGATATGGGGTAGAGCATATAGCGTCGCATGCCTCAGTCAGTTGCGGAAATCACTAAAGGCATTTCCTGTCAAGTTGTGTTGTTGGCTGGCTGCTGCAACAAATGTTGTAAATGCCATGAAAACCGTCACACACATACACCTACTTGCATTGTACAAGCACACGCATACCAGCAAGCACATACAGACACACACACACACACACACACACACACACACACACACACACACACACACACACACACACACACACACACACACACACATACTTGTATGATATCTATGGATCAGGCAAGCAGGCACGATAAATGTCAGCACATTGAACGAAAAGACTTGCTCTGGGGTCAATGGGCCTCCTTTTTTCTTTCCGTCCAAATATTCATATACGAGTATATACTATATGTACAACAAGAAGTGGTTGCGTGGAAAGGGGAGAGGTGAGGCATCGTTGAATGTGTGTTGTCAGCTCGACTGTCATAATACAGGCAGCAGAGCAACTGCCGCAACTCTTTACGCACACGCAAACAAAAAAGATTGGCATTTGAAAAGCCGCAAACATAAGACGAACGCACAAACACGCCCGAACATCCGCACAGATAGAATCGCCACATAGCTGTGGCTCAACATTTTCATACTTTTGTGGCATTTTTCTGAAAGACTTTCCTTAACTCTTGCTAGCGCATTTTGCTCTTCCAAGCTTCGAACCATGCATAATATGCGAGCTTTAAATAACTTCAATCCACTCAATGTATAAAGAACTTGTTTATGCTCACACAGCACAGACACAGGCACAGACACAGACACTAACACTAACACGAACGCAAACACAAACACACTTACTCACACTCACTGGCAGAATGATGGCAAATGGCGGCGCGCATTTCGGCTTCTTGACTACAAAATTGAGTAGCATACATTTGTGCGCTTACATACTTACAAGTATTTTCCATATCTCTATCTATCCTACACAGCCATGCACACGCATCTGTTGCTGTCGGCGCTACTCGTTCTCACTCCATTTTGTATTGTATTGTAAATCTTAGAGGAGATTTCAATGCCCGATAGAGTCCCATGGATTTGCATAGCACTCCACATGTGATCGCTGTCGTGTTTTCATGTGGCTTACTGCAAAATTGTTTGCCTTTTTCCGTCGCCAGCAGTTCGTTAACATATCGCACTTAAATATATGCTAGTTGGCCGTTTCATCGCCCATTTGCCGCACCATTGAAATGCGGCAGGGGGACATTCCAATAGGGAATGATAATATTAAACGTATCACAGATATGAAATAATTGAATTTGAATAATTGAAAGACTGTACGATTCTATAAATGATTTTATGTGCAAATTTACTTTATTGAAATGTGCACCTCCTGCAGAGTGGTATTCAGCTACTATTGTTTGAAACTTGGTTAAATAGCATTCTTGAAAATAGCATTCAATTTCAAGTTGAAATAAATTGGCTTTATTTTGTTAATTCAAAAAAAAGAAATACATACTCCAAATACATATTCCGAAGGACACAAACAATTAGTATACAATATCTAGAAATCATCATCACTTTTAAGGATTTCGTTTTGGCAAATTCGGTTTGACTCACTAAGTCCTTGTCCTTAATGTTTTGGTTGCTTGAATATTCAAGTCAAAATGAAAATACGTGTTATTGGTTTTATTCGATTCACAAAGAAAATACTTCATAATGAACAAAATTAAAGTAAATGTTTAATGTTTCCTATTTACAACAAATATACAATATACAATTGGTTTCTATAATACAAATGTTGTTTTCTTTCTTATATTTAACAATCCCATTATTATATTGATATTTGGCACATAGTTGACTTAATATCTAAATTTTGGTATTTTCTTCAATCCATGTTAAATACAAAGATATATATTTATTGTAGCACTGCAATAAAATATTTGATCCTTACACGAATCAAACAACAATCAGGCTGAACTTCAATTAACAGCAAGTACGGTTTACCTTAATAATCGAGTAAGCAGATATATAAATATATAGATTTATATGTATGTAAATATATATATAACGAGAAAGAGAGAGAGAGAGAGACTGAACAAACGATAAAGCGGAATGGCTTTGTCCTATTTTTGCACAACTACAAAAATTAGCAAGCTTTCGTTGGCCTTCTCTGCATGTCTTGTGTCCTCTTTTCTTAGATACAAATATAAAAACCATTTTGTTTATATTTACAAGAAAAGAGAAAAGCGCACTCTAAATGGGACATTAACACTTGACGCACGTCCTACGGCCGTGACCATTTCCTAACTCCTAACTCCACCTCACCTTCAGGTGGGCGTTGAAGGTTCGGATTGCTAGACGAAACTCTCCTGACGTGTTAAATTGAATTTGAGACCGGAAGCTGGCGCCGCTTTTGACAGACTGGCACTGGTCTGTGCCTCGGGCGTCTGGTGGCCACTGCTGAACAAGGATGGTGACTGGGTGGTCTGCAGCAGTAACTGCTCCTGCCGATGGGCATGCAGCAATTGTCGCGCCAACTGCGAGATGTCACGACTGTGCACTCCACTGTTGTCCAGGAGGGAGCTCGTCGTCCCCACCGAAGGGATAGAAGCCAGCGACTGCTGCAGCAGATCTGGCAAACGCCACTGCTCCAATAGCTCGGCGGCCAGCGCCGGGGAGTCCTGAGCGAGACGTGTGAGCGTATGGAGAATTGCCTTGATGCTGCGCCGCTGCGATTCACACTCGGCACGTGAGCCGTATGTCTTGTAGAACTCCGCTTGGTAAACGGACGTGATAAAATTTATGATGATGCCGTTCGCCAAGTGACTGTGGCACTTCTTGTTCAGCGACATATTGTGCAGCATCGCAACGATTTGCTCCTGTGGACGAGAAAGCGAAAGCGGAAAGTGCTGATGAGCAAAAGATGTGGCAAAAGGAAGTAAAACAGACAGGCTACACTCCGAAAAAAAGAAGGAAAACTGAATGAAATTCACAAAAAGCTGCAAGTTCCAATTAAATACTAAATGTGAAATTGCAGATTAGAGTTCTTCCCGTATTCCGTCATTTAAAAAAAAATATAAATAATGATATTTCAGCTGAAATAGCTAATATAGTATATTAAATAATTATTTTTGAAAATTAAGATAAACTGAATAAAGAGCAGTGCCGGTAACTTTACTTAGAATATTGTCTTAGCATATACCTAAGCTATTCAAATCAAAAGGATCTAATTTACTTATTTGTGACATTATTAATTAGCTCCAATGTCTCCATATTTTAGGTTGCAGATCTTTTTAAATACATTTTTAATTCCGAATTTCCCATTCTTTCGATTTGTGTAGGATGAATAGCAAAATCGACAAACACAGGTAGATTATTCTTTGAGTGTAGAGCTGAGTGTAATGTCGGAATGAGAAATCTGTTAGCTGTTTCGGCATCAGAAAAAATTGCCTCACAAATGCAGAAATAAATTTTACGAGTGCTGTTTCCACTTCCCCCTTTTCTCCATCCCCCTGACTATACAAGCAGCCATCCCCTCATGCGGAATGCTTGTGAAAAGGTTTCAATGAGATTGAAACTTGTTTGTGTTTTAGAAATTCAGTCACTTACATAGAGGAACACACTGGCCTGTGGGCAATCCTGCTGCTGTTCCAGGGTGTCGATCAACTTGAAAATAGCCTCGTTCGACATAATGGAGTAGTGTGAGGTTATCTCCATGCGACTAAGGTTGTTCAGGGCGGCAGCGCACAGCAGCAAAGTCTGTGGGCAGCACTGGGGCGTTAGTAGCGAAGACAAGCCGGCAATTAGGGACTCGGCGCAGTCCTTTAGTCCGTTCACGCGATGATCCGTGCCATGCCAGGCGGCCGTAATCTGAGCCAGCAGTGAAACTGCCTCTCGTCGCTCAATGTCACCTCGCTTTTGGCCACCCTGAAGAATGTCCCGCACAATTTCAATGCCTCCACAGGTGCCCAACTGGGCAATGGCCTCTGGAGCACAGCAAAGAGTGGCCAAGGCGCGCAAAGCCAGAGCACGCACAGAGCTGAGCTTGTGATCCAGAACAATGATGAGTAATGCCCGCACCGCCTCGTTCTGTACAAATGCGTCTGTGAGAGATGCAAAGCCGTCGTAGTCGATGTTCATCAGTGTGGCCACCATGTTAATGTTAGCCCTCAGCAGCAGATCGCAGCGGCTCTGCTCGATGCTCAAAACCAAAATGCGCACTAGGCGCTCCAAAATCAGACGAATGGTGATCAGTGTGTAACGCTTCAAGAGCTGCAAGTCCTCCAGCAGGGATTCGAGATTGATGTAATGCTGACGTTCCAGGGAATAGCCCGTGTCCTTAATTATAATCCTAATCTGTTCTAGATGCTGCTCGTAGCGTCTTCGCTCCACTCTCGCCTCACTGAAGAAGATTGCACGGCGCTCCAGAACGCGTATGAAGTCCGAAAGATGGGCCAGTAGTTGACTGGCGCCCGAAAGCGCTTCCTGGAGTGTGCCAGCGGGTTGGACTCCACTCAACACGCGCTCGTTGCGCTCGAAGTCAACTTGGAGTGCTAGCGACTGTTGCTGAAGCTGACGAATGAGCTTAGCCACTGCACTGGTGGTGATCGTAAAGTTCTTGTAGGCCTCCTGGGCGATGGACTTTGTTTGCAGAGTGCACATGACTTCCTGCTCGCAGCTCCAGCGCTCCGATTGCAGCCAACTCTGCACAGAAGATGTGAAGGGGAGCGGTACATCAAAGGAAGGTCGTTCTTTTGTGGCTACAGCCCTCGCATTTGGTGTGCTTGTACTCGCCGTAAACCGTGCAGAACTCAGGCGCAACGGCGACGCCTCAAATTTGAGAGTGAGGTTAGCATCCTCTTGTTCGTGCTCTTCGCCCGCTCCTAGCAGGACTGTTTCATTATTGTAGGGTGGCGGCGCCTCCCCCAAATATACCGTCTCATTATTGTACGGTGGCGGAGGTGAATCTTCATCCGAATCTGCCTCCGCCTCTATTTGTTTGCTGTGTCTTTTATGGGTCGGCGAAAGCGGCTGTGTAGATTTTCGCACAACACGTTTGCGACGACGGGCTGTGGCACGAGGCGGCGTCGCCTCCAGCATCTGGGTATTCGGCCTATCTTCATCATGCTCTTCTTCATTGTGCTCGTCGTCAAACTGCAGCTGCCGTTGCTTCTTGTTTTGGCTCAACTGCAAGTTATCCAATTGCTCAAACAACTTGCTGCGGCTGGCCTCCAATTCCGCATCGGAGGATATGGATGCGAGTGATGCGCCGCTGAAGGAAATGCGTCGTGTGACGCTCACAAGAGGCGAGTAGAATGACGAGTTTCCAACGCGACGTACTACTGTGGGTGGTGTGGCCACAGACCGCACCGAGGTGGGTGAGGATGAAGCATCGCTACTGTTGCACTTAGAGTTAGGCGTCACTGGAGCTGTTGTGGTGAAGGTTGTGGAGGCTGTGGAGGTTGTGGCTGGGCGAGAGCTGTGCGATTCCTCGTTGTCAGAGAAACCCGAATCCTGTTCGGAAGACAAACAATATCGGTTACTTTTTAAATATTACACAAAAATCTAGCTAGTAGAACAGTACATGCCCTTTAAAGGACACATATGTATACATTGAGTGGCCATCTAACCAACATACCTGACTACGCAAGCTGCCAGGACTGTCATGCTTATGCCACGAGAGCTTCGAACTATTCTGCTCATCTTCCACTTCCTGAATGCACGAAAGATTTCCAATCCCGTATGTTTTGAAAGTGTGCGGTTCAATCTGTTGGGGTTGTTGTTGTTGCTCCTGTTGTTGTTGTTGATGTTGTTGTTGCTGTTGCAGGGCGCTGTCCAGTGACGCTGGCTGCACTGTTGGTTGAGCGTATTGTGAATAGTAACCGCCACCGGTGAAGCTGCTGCCCCCCAGATAATTGTCGGAGCCCCACCAGACTTTGCTGTAGCTGCGTTGAAAGGCCATTCCAATAGTGTTGTTGTGGTACTCTGATTGTTGTAATTATTGCCTGGCCTGTAAATATACAATTTGTTTTTAGAATCTCAATTAAATTATTTCAATTCTCTTCAAATGTAACATTCATCCCATTAATCTTCTATAGAGCGCTTTGTTATCAAATGTTTTATCAACAACAAGAATTCGATAATATAATGTCTATTTAAGCCCGGTGTATCTATTTCGCTACTTCGACGTGATGGTATCATCCAGTTTGATGAGGAATATATTACATTTAATTAGATTATTTGGAACTTCATTTAATTTTAAGTCAACTTTACTTTTTTTATGACTTTATTTGCTCGTTATAAAGGTATAATGGGTGCATAAGGTTTGTGTAATGTATGTAACAGAAAGGAGGAACCGCCTTCGACCCCATAAATTCTTAATCAGCATAATGAAACGAATCGATATAGCCATATCCATCCGTTTGTCTGGTTAAACGCCTGGATAGCCATATCCATCCGTTTGGCTGGATAAACGCCTGGATATGGCAGACGATTGAGCCCACATTAACCAAACTTGGTATATACATAGTTTCTTCTAATAACCAACCATCATACTTCACTGTAGCATTCTCTCTTGTTCATCATAATTAAATACAATTATCTCTTTAACAAGAAGAATACTGTCTCTCTGGCAAATAAAATGCCCCCACCGTGTCGGATTCGTTAATATATATTTTTGTCATTTTTATAGGCTTTTTTATTTCTTTAGTTTTACTTAGTTTAAGTTCTCTATTGTATTGTATTGATTTTTTTTTATGTACATCGACTGCATTGTTTGTCGATGGAAATAAATAAATAAATGAAAATAATTTGTATTTTTAATTTAGCACTGAATATGAGTCGTTCAACGCAAATATAAAATCAAAGTGTCAATAGCGTTGCCAAAATGTAAATGCCCCGCTCACACGCTCACAATTTACAGACCCTACGCCCACTATGCACCAATATTTGTATATGCGGTTGCACATTGCTTTAATATCCGTTTGACAAAAAATTAAATTTCCGCTGTGCGACACAAATCATTATTTTAATCAATAAATGTGTACATCTATCTGCCAGACTATCAGTCGATTTCGTCCGCCCACCATTTGACCTGGCTATGTTGAACCATAAAGTGAAATGAAATGCCAATTTCGAAATGTCTCATGCCGCTGGCTGTTTTGGCGGCTCACGTACACGTGTGTACATTTGTATGTACATACACGTATATATAACTACACACATACATATTTAATTTACTTGTGTGCTGGAGACTAGTTCAATGGCCGGCCCATGACCTAGCCACTTATTGAACTCCTGTTCTTTGCCACTCTATATACTTCAGTATCAAAGCAGGTATTCCTCAAACAAACACGCCCACAAATTATTTGTATGTTTACCCTTCATTGTTGCCCAACACTTGGTAGCCAGACAGTTAGACAGACGTTCTCGGTCACCGTCATGACTTTGTTATCAAAATAACATTTGACATATGGCAGATATAATTAGAGGCATACTGCAGATTTAGGTGTATTTTCTGTGCTAGGGTCGCATCATGCATAATGCATACGAATACATAATGTACAATTTAATGCCGTTATAATTTCAAAATAATTGATGTGATACCAAATTGTTGGCTTGGCCGGCTCCCGACCATTTATGCAGATTTTACAGCCCAAATGACTTTTGTTGACTGTGTCCAATGAAGGGAGCGCTTTTGCTGTTGTGATTGTTGTTGTTGTTGTTGGTTGTGGCTGCTGTTGAACTTTGCGCCGAACATGTTCGAAAGTGTAGCACCTGGTCAAGGCTGACTGACCACATTTTGGGAATTTCGGCATTTATGCAAATTGAATAAAATAATTATGCGAGATATTTGGGCGCAGGGACACAAAAGCAATATTATATGATTAAACACATATTTTATATATTTACTTAATAAGTTAAAAAGCATGCAAAAGATTAAGATTAAAGCACTGCCTACTGTTTATTTACCATAATTTGGTGTTATCGATAATTCCCCAGATAGGTGATGTTTCCCGAGTGCCTCTGGTTTGAATGCTTCTTATTAAAAATATAAAACTACAGGGTCAGTGATTTTTGGAGTGTGAACCTTGGCAACATAAAACATAAGTTTAATTCGGATGATCCTAAACTATAAGCCCAACTGTTAAACTCTTTAATAACAAATTTTGGTATTATGAAAAGATCTGAATTTACCAGTACACGAGTTAAGCAACCTTAACGATGTTATGAAAAGCCCCATATTTCCATACAGCTTTTCTATACAGTTTACATTTAACCGTGAATTAGCCAGCTAATAATAGCAAGTAGCTCAGTATATATATACCTGTAGTATACTACATACAGGGTGCGCCATCTTTTATGTCTGTATGTAAATATTGAATAACTTTGTCATTAGCGAACCGATTGACTTGAGTAGACCAGTGTTGAAAACCTCAGTTCAAGAAATTGTACAGAACCAAATTAAATAAAAATATCTCATACTTGAAAATCGGTTGTTTATTTTCAAAGATATTCAATGTTTACATACCGACATAAAAGATGGCGCACCCTGTACTTTATAAATAAGAAGATAGAACAATGACACAAAACCTTAATTATATTACGGCCATTTGAATTGTTGTGGCCTGCGTTTAATTATCCTCGTTTACCATAATTTTAAAATATTATGAAGCAGCTATTTCGTCCAATGTTTAATGGAAATTTTTTGCTTTCCTGTTTGTGTGTTGGGCATGAATGGAAAGCCACACTCCCCTTTTGACAAATATTAATAGTGGAATTTTGGGCAAACCACAATCCATATCTTCACAGAATTTGAGGCTACGAAAAGTTCAATGGAAATGCGTAATATTATTCCTTTTTATAGCCTGTACCCAAAGGGTGAAAGGCTATACTAGTTTTGTGCGCATGTATGTAACACACAGAAGGAGGCGTGGCAGACCCCACAAAGTATATATATTCTTGATCAGGATGAGAAGCCGAGTCGATATAGCCTTGTCCGTCCGTCCGTCTGTCTGTCCGTCTGTCTGTCCGTCTGTCCGTATGAACGCAAGGATCTCAGAAAGTATAAGAGCTAGAATAACCAAACTTGGTTTCCATATTCTCCTAAGACCGAGAAAGTACGAGTTTGAGTTTTTTTTCGATGCACCCCCCCACTCCCCCGCAATTCGTGTTTTTTCTTATAACTTCCGTAATTCTCGGAATTTTGAAATCAATTTTGGTAGGTACATCCAGTTAGTACTAATGTGTCCGTGTGACAAATTTCATCATGATAGGTCAATTCTGAAGAAAGTTATAGCCATAAGTAAAATCGCTGCTCATGCGCTGCCTCTATCGGCAGCGCTGCCCGCAGCTGTTGTTGTTGTTGCTGCTTTGGTTCAACTTTGTGCTGCATACATACACGCATATAAACACGCATAGGTACGTGATGTAAATGTATGCTGTTAAAACTAAACATAAACATATATTCTAATTTAATTTAATTAATTAATTCATTAATTTTTTTTAATAATTTAATTTTTTTTTTTAATTTTTTTTTTTTAATTTTTCTTTTTTGTGGAGAGTACAGGCTATTTTACTGTCGGGCTTGCTCGACTGTAGCGTTCTATCTTGTTATTAATATTGCTCTTAAGCGTACAATATATATACGCTATTTTTTTGTTAAACCTAATTGGTAACAAGATTATTTGCCTTACAGATGAAAAATAATTTAGCAATGGGCCCATTGTAAAATTTACAGCAGTGTAAAATTTGTATTTATAATATATAGTACAATATTATGGACGCTTTTTTCGTTCGTTTATAGACGAATTCCTCAAATGAGTTACATTATTTTTTCAAAACGACTATATATTGATTACTTAAATTGAATACGTAAAAATGTTCCCAGCCACAATTACTAGGCACAATAAATATGGCGCAATTGCGTAATACGTACACATTGCGACGCAGGCACAGGCACATGCCCAGTCCTGGTCCAAAGGATCAAGCCCATGCCGGTGGCTTGTGTGCGCGAGGCGATAAAAATTAACGATACTTAATACCAATATTGAAAATCATTAAGTGATTTATGTGCCACACACAAGCGCAGACAATGCAAAAAAAGAAACTGCTGGAAAACAAAACCAACACATGGCCCATACGCACGAATATATAGTATGTACTATCTGTATGGTATGAATATTTTTGCCAATTAATATTTTCAGTTGCCGGCAGCCATTATGTTAAATGCTGGCCCATGTAGTGAGCACAAATCAAAAGAAAGTGCATTGCGTAAAAAGTAATCCCATAAAAAAGTTGCAACGCATTTCCGCAGATAAAGCAATTAGCTTAAAAATTGTTGTTGAGTTTTCCCACCATCATTTTGAAAACGCTATTTAATAGGTTTCTGTGGAAGTGCAAATAGTTTAACAAAATATTCAATAATGTTTCTTTTATTGCAATTATTAACATGCCACGCACAACAAATGCAAATAATATTCTTTTGTATTAAAGCAAATTAATAAATATGCTAAGGTTCAGGGAGGTTAGGTTTTAAAGCATGTTCGAAATAATACTATACATTATTTGTCCTGATATTCCTTTGTACAAAACACAGACACGTTTTCGCTTGAACATTCATTTTCCACATTTCAATTAAATACTACTTATAAAATATTCTTTTGCACAAACATTTATGCATATTTCCAAAGGCCACATTTTGAAAGTCAATTGCCAACGATTCACAAAACAAAAATTACGAAGGACAATAGACATGCCAACAACGAAATATGAAACAAAGACAAAATCAATCTATCAGTAAAGTCCACAAGGGATGTAATTATAAATTTTAATAAGCACCGCCATTCGCAGTAATAATTTCTTGAACATTTCAGTTACGTCCTGACGAGTGTGAGACTGTTCGATTAGCTTTACGTATGTGTGTGTGTGTGCGTGCAATTAACAAACCGCGCCACATAAATTTTAATATCGAATATTCGTTTTTGGGTTTTCTTTGTGGGAGTGTGCTTAATCAAGATAAACGAGCGCGACGTTACGTATACGCCACCAAGTAGAAACAAAAGTTATGCTGTACCCGTTAGAAATGTATTCCATATTATATATATATATGAAAGAATGGAACAAGTTCCAAGAAACACGAAATTCGTAATAGACTTTCAAATTTTCTATTGAAAGGCTACAGTTTAGTGATTTGTAGAACTAAATTTTGTTGCGCTGATCTGGGATATAATAGTTTTGAAAGGGTGAGTTTTATTTCTACATCCTATCTCGAATATTTTCTTTATAAATGTTATTTTTCTCAATGAATTTAACTAAATGAACCAGAGGGCCGAACTAGTTCCGGATCGCACAACCTTAGCAGATACATCAAGCTGCGTCAAGTCTATAGCATTGAATGGGGCAGTTTTGGAGCACTGAATGCTAGGGGGGTAGTGAAAGCCAGCACCAATTTGTTGTTGCTACATGTACAGCTACATACATATATATACATATATAATTTAATCAACGTGGTACATCGTTAAGCACCAGCGTTGAGGTGTAACTCTGCACCGCCGCCTTAATGACGGTCGTCTTGGTAGATGTGGTGAGATTGTTGCTGCTTGGTGTCGTTCCGTTTGCATCAGGTTGCGCCTTCGCCACCGCATCCTTGGACTCATCGTCCGCACACCCAATAGTCGTGACCTGCACGTTCGTTTTCGTGAGTCTCGGTACGCGTGACGATAGGGGGGATCGGGCACCTGTGGCGATACCAGACACGCTGTAGCTGCCAGACTCATCGTCGCTGTAGTCGCTCGTTAGGGCGCTACTCCTCACTGAACTACTATAGGAATATTGGGGCGTGTAGATCCGCTCGATTCCTGCACCTCCGTTTGGACTGTTGGGTTCTGGAACGGAACTGCTTGAATTGCTCTTGTTGTTGGTGTTGCTGCTGGGCAAACTATTATCATTGTTGTTGTTATAGCGATGCTGTTGTTGTTGCAGCGTTGTGGTGGAGGCCGCCGTAATGTCCTCCTCGGAGATGTCATCAAAAGCCGGCGGCGGTGTGGACATTCCCGAGAGCATTGTGAGCGTGGGCGGTCGCTGGGCGTTTGACTGTGAAGGCGTACGTTGGGGCGTCGAGCGCATTACGTTGGAATTGGCTGACGTCTTACGCTTTGACGGGGAATGCTTAAGCGGAAATGTGGGCGTCTTCTTGAAGACTTGCTTGGCCATGGCCTCTTGGAAACGCTTCGCGTAAAAGGAGGGCCGACACACAGAGACTGTATCGCCATTATAGAGAATGCTCTTGAATGTGTGCTCCAGTTTCTTCTCCAGGCGATAAGATTGCAATATATCAATTATGCCGATATAGAGAATTAGTCTCTCGTCATCTGCCGAGCGAGCCGGAATACCGCCAGCAGGTACATCCTCATCTTCCTCTAGAGTTACATCCATGTCAGCAGTTATAGATTCCATGGCTGTGGAGTGGGCTACCAGGCGCTGACGATTCATGCTCCGAGTGCGGTTCAGAGCTGCGCCTGATGTGCTGGCTCCTGCACCTGCGCCAGCAACCAATGAGCCCGTGGATGCCACTGTGGGTAGCTGTTGGGTATTAAACGGTGTCTGATCCGCTTCCGGCGCATCGTCGACCACTTGCGCATTGGCATCCTTGCGTTGCAACTTGGCACGTGCATTCAAAATGCGCTCCTCACGCTTTTCCTGGGCTGCACGATCCAAATTGTGAATGCCCACCAGCAGGGAATAGTCCATTATTTGGAAACTCTCTAGTACCATGCAGTCGCGCTGGATGGTCTTCATCAGCGCATTATATTTGTCCGTCTCGAGGAATATACCGTTAGGATGATGCTCTTGAAAATCGAGATCCTTATATGTGGGACTCGCCTTCTGTCTTTCTGCCTTCGAGGCCTTGCGTCGGAATGTGGAACCTTTTAGATCGTACTTTGCATGCATTTTAATGTCCGAGGGCAGTAGATTGTTCATCGCGACCAGACGCACGTTTTTGGAATTGTAATGGAAGCAGTAGAGTCCAAAGAACTTTGGCAATAATGTGCGTGGGTTTTGTGACAAATTCATGTAGTAGCCGGGCAAAAGTTTTTGCAAAAACTCGCATTCCTTTTTCTGTACTGTCTTAATGATAAACTCATCATCATCGGTCAGATAAAATATAGAGCCTGAAGCTCCCGGATTTGAAAGCTCACGCAATGGGGACGCACACATGGACATTAGAAAGTCATCGGGTGCTATGCCAAAGAGATCTCTGAAGTAGCGGAAGGCAATGGGTGCATAAACTTTAAATCTAAAGTCGCTGTAGTGATGGGCTGGCGTCAGTGATGATCCGTCAGGTGGAAATGAGATTGACTCCATTTCCCAAAAGTCCTTCATAAGAAGATCTCGTTTTGGCTTGCTTGCCAAGCTCCCGACTGTGTGCTGAATGCCCAATTGAATGGATCCCATGATCTGCTTTGACTGGATCTTCTTATAGGTGACCTCTCCACCCTCGGCAACGCGCCGATGACCAATCTTTTTTTCATGTCGGCCACCAGTAGTCGACGGATTGCGTGAGACCGCCGCATCCAGTGTGGAGCTGGCGCTACGCACCTTTGGTTGCGGTAATTGAGAAGCTGCAATACTCCACAGCTCCTGATTAAGTAAGGCAGAGCTCTCAAAGCCACCATGTTGACTAGCTGCATCATGGAATAGCTTTCTCGAAGTGCTCGGTTGAACGTTCGATGTGGGAGTTGAAGGCGCGGCAGGTGATGGCGGTATTATCGGTGAATGTGGAACAACCATAAAATCGTTGATAGAATTATGTGAACTACTTGTGGGTAATTGAATATCTGGGGGTTTTACAATGATTGCCGTCGTTGTTGATGCTTCATTGAGTTTCGTGGGCAGTGGCTGCTCCTCTTCTTCTTCCTGTTGCTCTTGTTCATCCCGGTGCTCCTGTTGATCCTTTCCCTGTACACCAATAGGCTTCAATTGCAACTCAATGCGTGTGTCCATTTTAGGGTAGCGATGTGTGGATATTTTCGTGCTGATTTGAAAGAGAAAAACAATATTTGCAGTGCTTTTCAACCTCTGTGTGTGTGTAGGTGTGTGTCATTCGATTTTAAACACTAACAACAGCAAAGCGCGCTCAATTGCAACCTCATTTCCATTAATTTTTGGATCGACACTATGAGTAAGACTTTGCGTGTGTGCTCATTTTTCTGTCAGTTGTGGCTTGTGATTAAACTCACAGAGAATTTGCAAGCAAATTGTCACGTTCGCTCCCACAAGGTATAATTGTTATACTATATGCATACATTTATACATAAATAAATACCTCGAACAACGACCATCATTGTAAGACTGATGCACAGAAGCCCGTAATGTGCCTATAGATTGATTTAAAATTACCCTGAGATCTTTCAATTGAATTTTCAACAGTTACTCATCCAAATGGATATCTGTCTGACGAATTCTGCTACTCAAAAACGACTTTATCTTTGCTTACACAAGAGCAAATAGAACCACAACAACAACTTCTACGACTACGCTCACAGTGATAATTTTTTATCGCAGAAAACAAATTTGAACAGAGAGCGAGAGAGAAAGAGAGCAGTTAAGCAGGCACCAAACCTCGAATAGGTGACTCTAAAACTGTGCAAGCGCTTATACAATGCATGATTTGAGAGCTAAAGCATCGTTCATACACGAATCGAAATGTATTTTATTTTTATTTAATTTCATTTCCTTTTTTCCACTCAAGTTCAATGAATTGCATTTATAAAAACCAAATCAAATTGCTGATGTCCATTTGGAAATTGAATTTTCTAACGCTCTTTTCGAATTCATAAATCGTAGCAGCAACTGTTGTGCTTTTTTGTAGGCTTAAATTTGGTTACCAACTAATTGTACTTCTGCTGTATTTTCATCTGGGCATGAAATATTTCTTTTGTTTTTGCATGTCAAATGTTGTTGGATCCTAATAATTCACCGCACTATTCATTTAATAAACAAAAGCTTCACAAGTTTTCCCAATTTAATAACGAAAATGGCCTTTACAAGCGCTTTTAGCAATTTAAAAACTATAAAGTGAACACGTTTTAAGAGGGCAATATAATTGCAATTATGGCCAAAGAGCAGCAAGCCAAAATAGAAGCCAAAATAAACACAATTGTTTGCATATGGACGTTTAACCGGCGGCCAACTAGCTGCCAGGTACATACATACATACAAATGTAGGCATATACATATACAAGTATATATGTGTAGATATTTGCATAAACATAGATATTTGAATTTATCAAAGTATGCGGTCTAAAGACAGACAATTAAGCACCTCAATGCAACACCAAAATGGGCGTATACAAGTACACATCATTTTTTATGGCATGGTAGTATGTGAGTATTCTGGTGAGTTTATTTTTGCACATGTCACCCACTAGGTACAAAAGCTATATTCGTATCTGTATCTATAACTTACGCACACGCATGTCCACAACGATATTTAACATAACGGAAAATTTTCCAACGCATTTCTCTTGAATGAAATAAATATAGGAAGTATGTATGTTCATAAGTATGTATGTATGTATATGCAAAAAGTTGGCATGAAAAACATAATAAAAAAAAGAATAATGTGTGGGCGTCCTAGCCTGTCGTGGAATTTTATCTTATCACCGTTCGAAATGGAAACAATTTTACGATTTTGCGCCGGCAAGCGACAACGAAATGTCGAAATGTGTGAAATTGTTGTATAAGCGAGCCACCGCTTAAATGTTTAATAACGTTCGGGTTTTGTAAGCTCGACATTATGTATGGCAATTAAGTCACAGTTTGACTGCCACTGGATGAATGCGATAGAAAAAAACTACAACACGAGTACATATGCACAAGCCAGAGAAGATACAAAACGAACGTCCCGCTGTTGGCCGTATCCGCCATTAGAGGGGTATAGTATAGCATTGAAAACAGAAATACATTTACACCAATATTTACATAGATACATACATTTGTATGTATACATGTGTTAGTGTGTTGTTGTCGTTGCTTTTGTGGTATGTTTATGAGCTTGCAATTAAACGCGTTGCTGTTGCTTTTTTGTTTGTTGATAAATTTATTAGCGTACTTACACAAAATGCTCGAGGAAAATCGCCAAAGGTCAGAACACAGCGCACAGGGTAAATCTCTTTATACTTGTGTGTGTGTGTATCTATGTTTATTATGTGTATGAATGTTGTGAATACTGCGTGCAACAAGTTGTTGCTGCTGTCGTCTTCGCCCTTTAATTGTTGTTGTTGCTGAATCCAGTAATGTCTGTGCGGAGCAGCCTATTAAAATACAGTGCGTAATTTCTCTTTGCAAAACTAGGCAATATTTTAACAATGTTTTTATGTGCACAAATTTATGTGCGCGGCTTCTCGTTTGTCTATTTTTCTATGTATATATGTATTTGTATATTTAAAAGCACGATCGATTAGCGTTTATTTTCCCGCATATTTTGTAATTGCACAGCTAGCCAGTTCAGTTTGTCGTTCTTTGTAGTTGCTGTGGCGTCAGAGTTCGAATTCCAGTTGATAAATTGCTTTCATAATTTAAATTTTTGATGAACGGCAATTTCAATGAGCCTCTGTCTCTCTATACTGTGATTCGTTGTGTGCGTATGTATGTGTAGGTTGTGATGACGTCGTCGTCGTCGACAGCAGCGGCACACAGGCCGCACTTTTTATGTTTCCCAGAGCAGCAGCAGCGGCCAGCGCATTTTGTTGCTCCAAATGTTTTTCCACACGCGCACCGACAAAACAAAACCAAATTTGTTTGTAAATTTTGTCACTTGAATTTGTTGCCGCTTTGTAAAGGAAGTTAAAAACAAAGTGAAAATTAATTCCTTTTCTTTTTTATGAACACAGCGCGAGAGCAACTCAAGCGACGACAGCTGTCCAAGTCATACGCGCAGTATGAGTCAACGGAATGAGCAGGCGATGTCAGCGCGAGAGACTTGAGCGCGTGTGGAAGCAGTACAACTATATATCGTAGCAAATGTCTGTAATATGTGAAAAAGAGGGCGCATCAGTGTGGTGCTCTGTTTCGCCGCTACCCAGCACTGAAAAGCGGAACTGCCAGACCGTTTTAAAGCGCCACCTGGGCATGGCCAACAAAGATCGTTTGTAACGCCTTTTCGAACCGTGCAATTAACAATGGACGCTACCGCTTCATTTGCGCCCAATGACCGGGAATTGCAAATGGGAACGCGTCAATAAAGAGAAAATGCCAGTAGATAGAGAACTGCGTGCCAAAAATCTAATTAAAAATATAACACGGCTAAACATAAACTCACTTAGCCGCCAGCTGAACTAATTAGATTAAACTTACACAGAGCGATGGGCTAGGGAAAGAACAAGTCTACGGGCGGACAGTACTTACACGCGAAGCCAGCTAAGGCGTCGCCGTCTTCGTTGTGGCTGTGTTGTTGACCCAGCCCATGAGGTGTGAGCTGTTAACGCCGCGACTAACAACTTAATTCGCTCATTAACAAGGTACAGTGGTCTGTGTCCTCCAAAGTAGCCACAAATCTATAGTATAATAGCTTGCTTAAATGTTTTAAGAAAATATTCAACAACTATTTAAAGGACACCACTTCTAAATACAAGGAAACTAAGTATTAATAAGGTTTTAATGTAATTTTTGTAACTTTTTCTTCGTAACCATTCTTGAAATGCGGTTTATGCTTTTACTTAATTTGTATATATTTTATATTTACGAATTAGGTTAAGGTTTAAAAATACCTTTAGATTTTAAATGTTTTAGTTTGTAAACATAAAAATGTAAGTATATTAAGGAATTTTCAAGCACTCTAAATAAGATTTAAAGATATTTCGCCCAACCACTATGCGGTGGACAACGACACCAGTGTAATTTTCAATTTATTAAAAAACCGCATTACATAAAGAAAAACGACTTATAATCGATATTTATTGTCGACGATGAGTAATTTTAATAGAGCCACAGCGTGTGGCTCATTAAAATACAGATAGCGGGGGGGAAAATATATTCAGCCAACAAGTTACGGCTAAGGAAATGAGCGCGCTTGCTCATTACAAATGCCCAGCAGCCCAGATGGGGAGGCGTTGACAACAACAGCAATAACGACAACAACAACAAAAAGCAAATGCCAATGCCATATAATCAGAAAATGGTTTTGTTCGCTTTTATTTTCATTTTCTGCTTCTTCAACATCATATACAAATTGCATTGTGGCGCGAAATTAATGGCAACAACAATTGCCACGGATCGTGTTTTGTAAAAAAAATAAAAAATAACACACACACAATGAACTGTTCGAAGAAAAAGGTGTGGCAAAGGCAAATTGAATGAATTGTTTAGTTAACTATTAGAGAAGAAAAGGCCGTGTTTTAAATTCATATGTAAATCCTAATAATTTCTCGTTTTATTCACGATGTGAGTGCAAGAACAAGCATTACTTCATTTTGATTCTAATAATGCATAGTTGGAAGCTTTTAAGATCCCACGATTTGTGTAGATATGCTGAGGTATTTATGTATATTTTAATGCTATGCTTTGTATCATAAATATATATCTTAAGATATATACATATATATTAGTTTCGAAGCACCAAAGATAGTTCTTAAGCTTGTTTTTGTATTATTTAATGCGGCAATTAAATGCGCTTCATCAAGTTGAGGTGGAATGAAAAGCTTTCAATAATTTATGCAACACACGCCGCACAACAGCAACCACACAAACAACACAACCATTAAACAACAACAACAACAGAGACAAAGATGCCAACACTTAACGGCACTTTTTCCTATATATTCGGGTGGTTTGTACAAAAGCAGAAGCAACTTGGGGAAAAAATTGTTGTCAGTTCATCGCTTCAGATATTTTAGCATACGCCGTCGATGATAACAAAAGCAATTCTTTCTCTGTTAAGTTTCTCATAAATTGTGTAAGCGCTGGTCAGAAGTGTTGAGAGAAAAACAGAAAAATAATTTTATAATTGAATCCTTTTAATTGAGGTCGCTGGAAGCCACAACAACAATAAAAGCTGTACACAATCGATTGCCAGCCAAATTAAAATTAATCCGAGATGCGAGTTGAAATTTTGCAATATTTATGAGTGGCACATAATTATTTATGCCCGTTTAAATGCTTTAAGCATTTAAGCAAACACTGTTCAATATACTGCATCGAATATGGGGAAATTTTAATTTTTAGTGTCCTTTGTGAAATTGCAGAAGGAGCAGGGGACATTTAATTAATTTGTGAGTATAAAGTAGTGTGGCATGCGGGCAACTGCAAAATATGTATTAATAATAATTAAGTTAAAATGTATAGGCGAGAAAGTGCATAAAATATATTAATAGCAATTAAGCCAATATACATACATACATATGTATATGTACATGCATATAGTACCAGTATACATACATACATATGCATGTGTCATTACAACTAAAAGGCAGAAAGCTTCTTGCATTACTTGTGGGCTTAAAAGATAACAAGAAACAATGAGAGGATGATGGGTTATGTCACGGCCATTTACAGGATGTATAAAACCACCTACGAGAGCCTTTAATGTTGATGAGTCCTGAGCGAGAAAGTGCATGAAATATGTTAATAACAATTAGTCTGATATACATATACATATAAATTTGCTTGTACGGGCATATATAAAAAGAAAGTGTAAGAATAATTAAAATGCGAACGGTTTTTGCATCTTTTGGGTGCTTTATACGTTTATATTACAGGGAACAGAAGACCAATAACACTATTTAAAAAGTCGCTCAACAGATCTGGCGTACTCCCTCAGACCTGTTCGCTTTAATATTGATGACTCTGAAGATTAAAATATATTTATAATTGAAGTGTTTACAGTCATATGTTAACTGGGCTAAAAAGTCATTGTTTTTTGTTTACTTATTATTTGTGCACTAACAACCAGAATTCACATGCCATTATTTTTTTAAGCCGACATGACACATTTAACCTCTAGGGTCAGTTTGACTTTACACGGCTTTAGTTAATTAAGCGACTCTTCAATTATTAATCAGCTGAGCGGCTTTTATAGTTTTGGCATATCAATTTAAAATAAATACGAATAAATGTAAAGTCAGCGTAATAAATTGTTATTGTTGTGTGAAATAATACTGGCGCTCATTTCAGACACAACAGATTTTTAATTAATTGCTCTGTTATTGTAGTGACAAATAATTAATAATAAATCAGCATTTCAATTATTGTTTAATTGGGTTTGTGGGCTTAATGTGCGTCCTCTGTTTAGTTGCCAATGAGTCTACAGCTTGTAAATGCACAAACATTAAAATAATTAGGCTAATAAATAAAAAAATGAACATATTATGCGTACGAGTGTGTAGCTATTGATAAAATTAAAACCAGAAGCTTGTTTAATGCGTCGATAGAATTTTCAAAATGGCCGCATAATAGAATTGATTGTCAACAGAAGTGCAATACACGTCTCAAAGCTGCAATTGCAAGCGATTTGAGTTGAAGGTAAGTTGGAGAATAGTAATAACAATACTGAGAATGTTACATTTAACAGCCCATGTAAATGTCTGATACAGTGATGAACCATTTAGCTGCCCAACAAGTTAGGAAAACTCCATAAATGAGCAAAACCTCAATTTTGCGAAAAAGCTGATCCTGAGATATACTCGACACTAGTTCCATTCATTTCATCAGCGTTGAAAACTATCTGCCTTCTATAGCGAGTCTGTACTGTACTAGCTTTGTTACAAAAATTATTACACCTTATTTGGCACATTGGCATTTCATTGGAAAGCAATAAATAAATGAGCTGGTGAATTCTACTTAATTGCACAACAATTCAATTGCCAATACTATGTTGACTTGACAGCCATTTGGTTGGCATTTGCTTTGTCCGCGGTAACGGTAACAAGCAGTTATCTGTTAGTACAGATGTGTGTATTCAAAGAAAAACACCGTTGCTTTCGATTGTTTTGTCATTGATACCCATCTCTCATTGCAAAAAGTGATTGTTGCCAGCCACCGGGCACATTCAGGCTGAAACTGAGGCCAAGACTTATACTGATTCTGATTCTGATACTGACACTGATGATGATGATGATGGTGGTGTTGACTTGAACTGGATTGGCGTTTGCCGTCTGACGTGTGGTGTGGTCGCTTTTAATTGTCACTTCTCGTGTTGTTACAAATAGCTTCATGGTGATGCACTCAAAGAAATTTGTAATTTCTTAGCCAGAGGCAATGTAGCAGCCTAAAAGCCAAAGAAATTATCACCAGTCTACATTCACAGCTTATTAGAAAATGTAAATTGTTTCCAAACGTATTTGAATTAAATTCCACCACTAAGGAGGAAGGAGTGGAGACAACTTAATAGCGAATTAGAAGATTCTCGAGCCCACGACAATAGTTTTTGCAGAGGTCCGCATTGTGTTCATAATGAGACAAAATGGAAGTCAGACAAGTCATCAAAAATTGTATTTAATTTTTCAAAAGACAAAAAATATTTTTCACCTTTAGAGTTTTTTTTGCATAGACACTTACATGTAAGCTTAAATATGGGTTTCAGCTCAGAGTTTCGAATTTCATTTAATTTTGTAAGCATTGAATATTTTTCAGTGCATATCAGGAGCTGATCGGTCGGATGCAATTCGAAGCGCCTTGTAATTAGAGAGACAGTATTATACTGTAGAACTGTAGATTTCTGTTACGCACGGTCAGCGATCATTCATCTGCCGGCGCTCTACAAAAGTAAATATGTTTGCGGAATTGCTTAATCAAACAATCGAAATGTGTAATTTGTGGTAACCAACGTAAGCTCCATTCATTCAATTCTTCATTCAATCAATTTTGCGGATTCAACACCTCAAATCAATTTCCCATCATATATCTCTCTTGCAAATTAAGACAGCTTTGTAGGTGCTCCGAATGTCTGTCTTTCTGTTTACCTGACTTCCCCACTTATAAAGCACATGACTCATAGGAGCTACAAGCCACTCATAAAAAGAACTCAAATACTTATGTATGTACATATGTCTGTGAAAAAACAAACAAATGGCGTTGACGCAGAAAATTATCCCTGAGTCATGAGACGGCGCCTTACAATGACAGTGTATAGTTCTGGCGGCGGGATTACAAGCCCACCAAATAATGAAAAACAACAATCCACACGGGTATTATAATTAACAATATTTGAAGCTTCAAAAGTCACAGCTCTCAGTGAGGGGCGTCTCTTGACAGTTCGAGCGTTCATTTTATTTTGTTGACATTGATAAGCAGCGCAAATAGATATGATTAGGCACACAAACATACATAGGTACATATGTATGTATGTACATATTTAAGTATGCATGTATGTATGTATATGTGTAGGAAAGTCAACTAACCATAAATACTAAATATATTGGGGTCAAGTGTTTTATGGCCCCCAGCATAAAAGCTAACTAATATGCGATGGCATATTACTTTTATGGCTAACTTACCGTTTCGTTTCTATAAACAGACACAAAGGCACGCAAATAATCCAATTTTTATGTTGATGGCAACGTGTAGTAGCTATCGTTTTGGTTTTGTTGTTGTGGCTTTTCTTGTTTTTGTTGCTGTTGATAATGCGCCTCACGTTGATAAACACAAAAATATTTCAAGCACGTGTCAGTTGATTTTTGGTCTGGCGGCTGATTTACACAAGCGCGACACGCACACACACATGCACATAATAGGTAAACAAACACACGCACACAATAACTACGATCGATGAGGCACCCACACATGCACTTGATTACATTTCGGTCGTTTAGGTGCAACGGTAAGTTTTAACTGACGTTGACATGATAGGTCCACATACAGGACAACAAATTTAATTCAATTTGTATACAGTGAGTCGTATTGGAAACACTATTGCTAATTCAGAGTTCATAGATAGGTGTGAGCGATCGCCCTGCGTCTGCGCTGCTTGAACGTTGGATCGCGAATGCCGCTCGACAGCCGGCTGAGGCAGCTGAGGCGTCAGCGCCGTTGACTCATAACGTTAGCGTCGCTGCTGCCGCTACGCAAGGGAGAGAGAGAGAGCGCTTGTGCATTACCTGGACTATCAGCACAACGACAGCTGCTGTTATTGCTTTGCTGTGGCCTAGAGGTGGGAATAGACCGACACGACACTAACATAATAATAGAAACACGCACACGCATGCCCGCCATTCATAAAATATATTAGTATACAGATATTAATGAGACATTAAAAAAAAATCAAATCATATGAAAATAAAAGCAATTCAAGGAATTTTTTTTTCTAATTTGTTTAAATTTTAAACGCGCTTCTAAGTATGTGGGTTAAACTTTGACGTTTACAATACAAAATGTTATTTACGAAATGTACTTTTCTAACGAAAATACACATTTTTTATAAAAATTAAATTCATTAAATTTGTAAGTTTCGTTTTTTTTTGTGTGATTTTTTCGTGTCACTTACGAATATGGCCATCTCTACTGTAGCTGTGCTGCTCCCATGCCTTTTGGTGTTGTTGTTTATTTAATCATATTGTACGTTCCGCATAATGCACCTCATTGTTCTTGCGACTGCCGTCGCTTCAGCCGATGGCCTCGTGTTTCAGTAGTTGGTGGTTGGTTTTGCCGTGCTCTGGTTGTTGCTGCTAATGTTGTTGCTCTTTCTTATCAACACCGTTGTGCTCTCACCTCACATACAGCTGTTTGTTGCTGCTGCGGCTGCGGCTGCTGCTGTTCTTGTTATGGGTGGCTTTGTCATTTATTTGGCCAAACCGGTAGCCAGTTCATTTACGCTCTCTCATTCTCTCCCAAGACGGGGAGTCTTGGCTATTTTCGTGCCATCTTGTGCGCTCTTTTGGGCATGCGCTCATGCGCATTCCATTCACATTTTTGCTCAGCTGCCGCAAAAATGTTGACGTGATTTGTTTTTACGCCTTGCTGTTGTTGTCGTTGCTGCTTCGTTTCTTTTGTTAATTATGTTTCTTTATTCTTGGCGCTCTTTTTTTAGGTACCCACTTTAGCAGTTTTTACGTCTTGTTTTCGCCCTAATTTGCATACTTAAACGACGCACATGAAAATTGAAGAACTCGTCAGTGATCTCAGGGACGGTTCCTGGAGTTGGGCGGCCTACACCAAGTATTTCCGTTTCGAAATATACTTTTTAGATAAGCCCATGGGTATTTACGAAACTATTTTTAGTATGTACCCCTACATTAACACTACGATAAGATCCGAACACGAAGGCACTGTTACTTTATGGTCATAACTTAGACGTTAAAGTAATGAAAGGCTATTAATCAGTTTGCTTTGATAAGTGACAATTGTTACACAGTGATATTTCGACATTTGCGATGCCACAGTTGCCAAACGACTTATTGTTGAGCTAGTCTTATTTAAAACATTAAGTCCTAAAAAATAATTTAGTAGAAAAGTGTCTTGTAGTATACAAGTTTCATTTGTTGTAATTTAAGTAACATTTGATTCTTTTTATTAAAAATCAAAATCATCAGACGTGAAGTCTGACCGAATACGAATAACTTTTGATAAGTAACGATCAATCAGCCTGTGATGCAATAAAAAAAACATACTTTTAATTGGCCCTTTCTCGTTGAAATATTCATGGGCTTAAAACAATTCCTAGCAAACATTCAACAGCCATTAAACAATTATAAAAACTGTAATTTTATTATCCACCCACCTGAATTCGAAAAAAACAACACAAAAACAGACAGCACTAACAACGACAACAACACATGAGACTAGCCACACAATTAAAGCCACCTACATCGAACAACAAATTAAAAACAATTTTCGCCAATTTTTACCATTTGCACTTGAGAAACTGGTACGCGAGCGGTAGTACGAGGGAGTACGTGAAAGTTTCACGAACTTCGTGCTATGTAGGCAGCTGCTACATAACAACTACAGAAACAACACAAGTACAAAATAACAGATACACATAAGCAAATTAAAATTAAAAGTAACATATGTGTAAAGAAATAAAGTTAGACAATCGGCAGAACTATTTCAACAACAACAATAATAGACAATGAAGGAAAGGTAGCAAACAAAAGAAAGCAATAAAGGAAACACGTATCCACATACATATGCATATATGTATCTGTATAGAATACGTCGATGACACAAAAAGTTCAAAGTGCATATGAAAAGAATTTCGTTGGAAGCACAATGTAATTTGTCAGTTCAAAGACCCTGTTCTGTACACGTGTGCGTGGGTGTCACGCAAGCAACAACAGCAGGGCCCACAGGATCTCCCCGGACCCCTCCCCCTAATATCTACGGCTACGTGCATTTTCTCTCCTTCTGTAGTGTTTACATGTTTGAATGCTGAAGACGCCGATACAGAGAGACAAATGTGCCAAGTATGTGAAGAAACGTGAGCTGCAGCAAAATGAAATGTGCGGCTGCATGTGTGAGTCTGTTTGTCTGACTCTCTCTCTCTGTGTGTGTGTGTGTAGCCAGAATATATGTATGTATGCATGTGTGTAGAAACTACTAGCAAAAAAATGCAATCAATGAATTTTTGTCACGTTAACCTTAACGTAATGTAGTGCAGCTGCCAGAGTTGCGAAGAGCCAGACTGCGGGAAGTTGTCGCAAGACATAAATTGCACAGTTGTTCGGCAAGTAATCACAATGGGCTGAAACTGAGGCTGAGGCTGAGGCTGAGGAGGAGGCTCGGCAAATACTCATGAACGTCGTGGAGAAAGGAATGGAAGGAAATAGTTGCATGAACTGAGCTATAATATGAATATAGTATTGTACACTTGGAGAAATGTAAGGAGTATTCACACCCAGCAGTTAACGGGCTACCTGGTCAGAATTCTAAACAGTCTAACAAAAAATTGTTCGCGAGTCATCGAGTTCATTTAAATTACATATCTCTTTGTTCTCCTATTGTTATATCTGCAACTTGGAATTCCAAGAAAGAGATTAAACATTAAATTTTCAGACGATGCACTGTCTGACGACGGCCCTTTCCATTCTCATTTGAAACAAATAAGTCTTAAGAAATAATTAATCAATATTGTATCAATTTAAGAAAAAGTCAGGAAAAGTAAACTATAATGACACTGCAGAATCTGTGCTAAAATCGTCTCGGTTATTCAATCTTATATTTAGCTTCACCGGTAAAACATCAAAATGAAAGATCCTAATGCTGATCAAACTGCAACTTTTTTTCCAAGTGTACACATCACGTACAGTTATGAACCAAGAGGGTTTGCATAAACTGTCACCTCTCGACTGCGCTTGCAGCAATTACATTCCATACATCCTTCCCAAACCAGATCGCAGCTGGCTCTTGGCGCGAGCGAACGCTCACCGTTCTACTGAGCATTACCGTTTCCATACGACTATATTTATAGTATTTGTATGTGTGTTTGTGTCTTTGTGTATGTGTGTGTGTATCTTTAGGGCAATTGCTCAATTGCACGTTGCTGGCGTTGCATGTAACCCCTCGCTTCGCTGGCTGGCATTGATGTGTGCCTTATGCCTCGACTTCCTCATGCATCTCGAAGTCACCCCAAATCCTAGAGTGGTGCATACGAGTATTGCCCTTAGCGTCTGCCAGCTGTCCGCACCCCAGTCTGCTCTGCTCTGCTCGTCGTACATATTGTTATCTCTGTCGTAAAGTTTTAAGTGCTCGGTGTTATCTGGAGACATGTTGCAAGCAAACACTTTTCCATTTCGATTTCGATTTTGTGCATTCGGCGGCAAAGTATTGATATTTATAGCCGAACTAATTATCTAACATCAACTGTATTCAACTGCTTATATGGCTGTCCAATATAGTTCACCCTTAGCTCATAATAAAACTACAAAAATAAACATGTATATCTGTATATAGCACTTAATTAACTAGCGACAAAGACAAAACAAGGAATGCGAAAACAACAAAGAAGAAAATCAATCTCAAGTCGCATGTTTATAAAAATGAGTCATGCGAATATTATGCGCACATTTGATGTGTCAGTGTCGGAGAGAGCAAATGACGATGTGAGTGGCATAAAGCTTGAGTAGAGGTAAGCAGCATGATTAAGTGTTGTCTGCCCCAGACGCAGACTCAGCCTCAAAATATGACTGATAAAAGCCAGTCTTACGCATTGTACATTGTAATAAAAGTGAAAACAAAATGATATCGCTAGCGGACGTCGGTCTGAATTGGAACTTGTTTTATGACCATTAGTTCTGAAAAATCCTGTATGTTGGAATCTGTTTTTATATCCATGTTGGCATATATCGGCGAATTGAATATTAGATGCTAATCTAGGAAATTTTCCTTTCACTATCTTCAAAGCGAATCTGTTTTCAACATACGAGTAAAGTATTTCAAGTATTTGAAAAGTTAAAAAGATGCCGTCCTTTTTTAACTTTGTTGCATTCATTTTAGTACAATTTAAAGGATTTGAATGCCAAGTTGTAGACAAAGATTGGCACATCTATCTTACCATTGCCTTTTTTTAAATATTAAATGTATATTTTTAACTTATAAAAGATGCAGTAATATCGGCCAGTCAGGTGGAAAATATTTTTTTATCAGAGTTTCAACCTGAATATTTATTCAGTTAATTTAATTTAAAAGCTCACGTTCAAGAATTTACAAGTATTTGGGAATAGAAGTGACAAAAAAAAAAATTGCGTAACTTCCATTTGATTTAACCCTGAACTGTTTGGTCTTTGCTGACACAGCTGCACTGAGTCAACGATAAATAAAAAATTGATTTAAGCACCAACAGAAAGGTATGCCACAAAATGCAAAACCCAAACGCAAACAAATGCCAAGCTTGGCAAAATAAAAAATATAAAGATATCAATATCGCGATTTCTATATCGACTGCAACTCGATGGCAACTCAATTCCCTGCCCGAGTGTCAGCACAGCGGCAGGCGCTTCAAGTTGCTGCCATATTATTTTA